TCAGATCTGCCAGGACTCTGATCACTCACTGTATTAGTTCTAGTGCAGTGCAGCTCCTCTCTTCAGACACAAATATAGGTTTAGAATAATACATGCATCACGAATTTCAGACTTCCGGTCATCGTGCAATCCATACTGGGAAGGATTTTCTGAAAAAGTGAGCATCAAACCTCCATGTTTGATTTTACAGTGGGATGCGTCTATTGACAAAACCGATCTTTTCACGTCTTTTAAACCATATCACTTTTGTTTCTGGTTCTGATATTTTCATATTTTGGTTCTGGGATTCAGACATTGTAATTATGTGGTTGTTGGATCCTAACAGCGGAAAACGGCTCGAGAAACGGGCTTCGGAAAGTTTGCAAACTCAATAAATGCAAAAGGGAATCAGATGTGTGTGACTACAAACCTCCGTTCAAACTGTTTCCCTTCCCAACGGAATTGAAAAAGAGTCAAAGGCGAAGGCGATGGGCAGGATTGATCCACAGGAAGGACCAAAAAAGAAACATTTGACTGACTAAGAAATCATCCCGAGTTTGCAGAGAACGTTTTGTATGTGGAGCGACAACAAAGCAAAATCCCGATCCCTCGCTCAACCTGTTTTACGAATTTAAAAAGTCAACGCCAAAGTGAAAGGCTCCAGCTGTTCACCAAGAAACACCTTCCACTGCAAAGAGACCAAGACGTGATGTTGCTGTAAAACCACAAGAACCAGAAAGTGCAGCTCAGTCTGTTTGTCTTCTGCACCTCTCGATTAACAAACGGGATCCTGCTTTGATGGCTCCACATACAAAATGTTCACCACAAACTCTGGATGATTTTTCGTCCTTCCTGTGGATCAATCCTGCCCATCACCTTCGCCTTTCACTATTTTTCAATTCCGTTGGGAAGAGAAACAGTTTGAACAGAGGTTTGCAGTCGCACACATCTGATTCCCTTTTGCAGGTATGGAGTTTGTAAACTTTCTGAAGCCCATTTCTCGAGTCGTTTTCCGCTGTTACGATCCAACAACCACACGATTACGATGTCTGAATCCCAAAACTAAAATATCAGAACCAGAAACAAAAGCGATATGGTTCAAAAGACTCGAAAAGATCAGCTTTGTCAATGGACGCATCCCACTAGGAAAACAAACATGGATGCTCACTTTTTTGGAAAATCCTTCCCAGTATGGATTGCGCGATGACCGGAAGTCCGAGATTCTTGATGCGTGTGTTGTGTTGAATAAGTAAATTTTGATGAATTAAATGCCTTTTACTTTTGCACATGTATCATTTTGATGCCCAACTTTCTACTCTAATAAATGGATAATGATTTATGTTTTAAAACTAGTAGCTCTCTGGCATTTTCACTTTGTAAAAGTAGTGCACTGGAGGAAAATGATTGGAGACCCTGTCCTAGTGTGAAAGTGGTGAGTGTTGGTGGTGGAGTGGCCGATGGTGCAGTGAATAACACTGTAGTGCCTTGTTATTATTCAGTGTATTCATTCCAAAAACATTGGACAGAATGATTTTTTTTTTTTTACTGAGGATGTTCTAATGATCTAAATAATTACAGCCTTTGTGATTCCATAGTTACAACAATTTAACATAAGGATTTTCAAAAGGCACATTTAAAAAAAAATAAAATAAATTAAAGTATGTGTTTCTTTTTTTTTCAAATATTTACAATATCAGGTCTGCATAAATCTATGTTTATCATTTATGTGAAGCATTTTTAGTGTGTTTTTATGGACATGAATTGACTCTGACCTTAAAAAATGTCATGTGGTGCGACCGAGAATAACCTTAAATAGTTTTATTGTTATATTTGTATGTGTATGTATATGTTTTGATATGTACATCCAGATCAGTTTTCCTTTTTGTTTTTGGACATTCAACTTGATCGTCTAATCTGTACATATATAGTATACGTATAATATCCACACTTTAAGCACAAAAAACATGCATGATAACTAATGATTTCTGAAAAAAGTGATTTGGTTCCAAGGAGTTTAGAGGTACTACAGATATAAGGTGAATTATTTTGAAATTTGAACCTTTTTTAACTGAATAAATTGCAATTGGACAGAAAATTGAGGCGTCCTGTCATTGACCCATATATAGTGTCGTCCTATTTGATTTTATAACCACATGCAAAATCTGAAATCAGCCCCCAGCCACTGACAGCAGGATTCTAGTCCAGATATTTTGTGATAACGCTGCACTCTGTCAGCGAGGAAATCAGAACGAGGCACTTTTGACAAGAACAACATTGCAATGGCCGGAGCCGCTCGGTACATCTGGGCACAGTGTTCTAATGACACAGAGTGCGGGAGCAGAGGGGAGCGCTCACTGCCACTGTGCATTCACATAATAGAGCCAAGCCCGCGGGTGAAAAGTGTCACACAGTCCCCAGCTAAAACGCCTACAGCGAAACCGTGTCACGCAGGATTTCCACAAGAATCCGAGGTTACAGCGGTTTCTGTGGTAACAAGTGGTCAGGAATGTGCCGCAGTCTGACAGAGCTTTGATGCAACATGGACTGCCGCGGTGTGAAGAGTGCAGAGAGTGGGACTGACTTTAACCTCTCAGTGTAGGAGCTTAGAGTGTTCAGAGGCAGGTAACACGTTTTTTTTTTTTTTTTTTTTTTTTTAAACCAATAGTTTCTCGCGCTTCTCGATTGATTTCAGAATGCTTAAAAATATAACTACAGTGTTCCCTCGTTTATCGTGGGAGTTACGTTCTAAAAATAACCCGCGATAGGTGAAATCCGCGAAGTAGTTAACTTTATATTTTACAATTATTATATCTGTTTTAAGTCTGTAAAACCCCTCACCACACACTTTATACACTTTTCTCACACAGGACTCTTACAACACTTTTTACATCCTTCTGAAAACTTATTGTTGATGTCGTCCTTTTGTTATTTTCCTTCATCTTTATGTAACGAACTGAAGATTCATTTATTCCATAATGGAGCTCTACAGCGCAGAGTCCTGCAGTACAGCACCGCACCCGCCTGTTAACCCCAGATTAAATCAAACTTTTGCGCTGCATACGCCTTGGACTGAACCAAGACTAAACCAGGACTAACCTAGGACTGAGGAAGGACTGGTGTTGCGGCATACAGGTCTACCCGGTAGCCTACTACCCGCCTGCATACCTGCCCGTAAAATTCCCGTTAAAACCCCCTGTTTCAGCAACTATTTGCCTGCGGGTACCCGACCCGGCACAGGACTCTGCTACAGCACTTCTCCCTTCCTTCAGCGTGTCCAGAAGTCCAACTTTTTGTGCGATGTTTTGCATCTTCCTCTGCCTTTTGTGTGCGATCGCAGGAGCCTTTGTCAGTGCAGAACGTTTTGTTAACATTGTGGGTTTTGTTTTGAGAAAACTTCTTCAGAATCTCACAGCTGGTGATCGAACATTTATGTAAATTTGGCAGCTGAACATATTTTGTACTGTACAGGATTGATGGACAGTGATCTACAGTCCCTGTCAATCAGGGTGGAACACAATGCACATTCATACACTGTAAAAAAAAGGCATGCAAAATCGCACCAAAAAAAAATATATACGATATAGCGAGAGACTGTAAATAAAATAGAATCATTGCCACAGTGATTAAAAGGGCCATATTATGTTATTTTATGATCTGGTTTAATCTTGTTTTGTTTCATTCACACATGTTTAACACACAAACCCTGCATATTTACACTGAGTTCTTCTCTCAAACTGAAAACACTCTGTTCCACCTTGTGATGTCATGTGGTGATGTAGGAAGTGTTCTTTTAAGGCTACTTTTATATGATGACGGTCTGAACTGAAGACGCAAAAGTGGCGTTGTGCACGCGACGTGAGCAGATCTGACCAGAGTTTTGCGTCTTGGGCAGTGTAGATGGAAACACTACAGTGGAGCGTATTCAACTTTTCCACTCTGGAGGATGGTTTCAGATTTTTTTGCGTTTTTCAGCCCCAAAAAAGCAGTCACCATCTAAACGAAAGGTACTTCTGATCAAATATTTTGTCGTTTTTACCTGCAAGCGTTCTCGTGTAAACAGGCCCTAAGTGTGTTTTTAAACTCCATACACCTTCAGTAGAATGATTTGGATAATTTCAGTGCTGACGTAGCTGTTAACTTGAAAATTACTATTAATAATTAAGGATTACACTGCAAAAAACTAAATCTAGTCAAGTTAAGATGACTTGAATTAAAAAGTTATATTATGATTTGAGTAAATTTCACTTGACAAGTAAAATTATCTGCCAGTGGAACAAGATTTTTGTTTTTTTTTAGATGGATGTAGACGAAGGCATACATTTTGTGTTGGCAACGATTCCTGAGATCGAGGATTTAAAGTCGGAACAAAGAGAATGTTTGGTCAATTTTATAAATGGGAAAGACGTTATTATTGGGATTTGGCGCATTACATACATCACGATCAAACAGCAGCGATTGGTTAAATAAAAAGAGTACTCGCCTACTGTCAAGAGAACAAATCCTAATGCTGCGAGGTCAGACAGTTTCCACAAAGTGAAACCGTCTGATGAATCAGGCAAAAAGTTTTGTATTTAAAATATGAAAATACATATTGCTACACTTAAAATAAGAAACAAAATCTAATAATGCTTGAATTAAGAAAAAAAAAAAAAAAAAAACGCTCATTCCATTGGTAGATAATTTTAATTTTCAAGTTGAATCGACTCAAATACAGTAAAATGTTCTTAATTTAAGTCATTTTAACTTAACTAGATATTGTTTTTTTTCCAGTGTACTCAAACATGTGTGAATGAAATAAAACGTTTTGATGAGGTACCAACTTTATAACCTGACTTAAAGCCCACAAGAGTCCGTTTTGTGTAGTATAGGACCTTTAAATCGGGTTGAGTTCCAGAGTCTTGTCCTCATAAAGCAGGTCCCTTAACAGTCTCCACAGAGCGATCAGAAGGTGACTCTCAGAGAACGAAGTTGAGGCAGACACTTAAGGGAAAAACAGTGTGTTTTAAAATGAGTTTTCTGACCTTCTCGAGCCCCTCCTCCTTCAGACTGATCACGTCCAGGTCGAAGTCTGTGCGCAGGCCGTTAGTGCGGTTAAAAGTGATCCTCCCGGTGAGACCGTCCCAGTGAGCCTGTACACACACATGTTACACACACATGTTACACACAAATATTACACACACATGTTACACACAAATATTACACACAAACAGTGAGACCGTCCCAGTGAGCCTGTACACACAAATATTACACACACATGTTACACACAAATATCACACACACATGTTACACACAAATATCACACACACATGTTACACACAAATATCACACACAAACAGTGAGACCGTCCCAGTGAGCCTGTACACACAAATATTACACACACATGTTACACACACATATCACACACATGTTACACACAAATATTACACACACATGTTACACACAAATATCACACACACATGTTACACACAAATATTACACACAAACAGTGAGACCGTCCCAGTGAGCCTGCACACACAAATATTACACACACATGTTACACACAAATATCACACACACATACACACAAATATCACACACACATGTTACACACACATGTTACACACAAATATCACACACACATGTTACACACAAATATCACACACAAACAGTGAGACCGTCCCAGTGAGCCTGTACACACAAATATTACACACACATGTTACACACAAATATTACACACAAACAGTGAGACCGTCCCAGTGAGCCTGCACACACAAATATTACACACACATGTTACACACACATATCACACACATGTTACACACAAATATCACACACAAACGTTACACACAAATATTACACACACATGTTACACACAAATATCACACACAAATATTACACACACATGTTACACACACATGTTACACACAAATATTACACACAAATATTACACACAAACAGTGAGACCGTCCCAGTGAGCCTGCACACACAAATATCACACACACATGTTACACACACATGTTACACACACATTACACACACATGTACACACACATGTTACACACAAATATTACACACAAATATTACACACAAACAGTGAGACCGTCCCAGTGAGCCTGCACACACAAATATTACACACATGTTACACACACATTTACACACAAATATCACACACAAATGTTACACACAAAATACACACAAATATTACACACAAACAGTGAGACCGTCCCAGTGAGCCTGCACACACAAATATTACACACACATGTTACACACAAATATCACACACATGTTACACACAAATATCACACACAAACGTTACACACAAATATCACACACATGTTACACACAAACGTTACACACAAACGTTACACACACATGTTACACACAAATATTACACACACATGTTACACACAAATATCACACACAAATATTACACACAAATATTACACACAAACAGTGAGACCGTCCCAGTGAGCCTGAACACACAAATATTACACACACATGTTACACACAAATATTACACACACATGTTACACACAAATATCACACACAAATATTACACACACATGTTACACACAAACCTTACACACAGATGTTACACACGTGTTACACACAAATGTTACACACAAATGTTACACACAAACAGTGAAACCATCCCAGTGAACCTGCACACACACACACACACACACACAAATTACACACAAATATTACCAGTGTTGGGAAGGTGACTTTTAAAATGTATCCCCCTACAGATTACAGATCCTAAAATGTAGTTTGTAATGTAATCCATTAAATTACTTAAACTGAGTAATGTAATCTGAATACTTTGGATTATTTGATATTGTCGTGCTTTTTAAAACAACATGAATGTAGCGACCACATCCTGAAAATTCTTGTTTGTTCTCTTCAAATTGTCTGTTGAGCCCAAGTCTCCATGAATAAGCGACTGTTTACTGTAGAGAAGCAAAGACCAGGAAATCTTAACATGAGATATTTTGTTTTATCTGCTAAAAGAAAACAAAAAGCCCAGACTTTACTTAAGCATATAAAAAATATTATTGATAGAGAAATGATTTCTGTATGAAATCACTGCTGCCTTAATTTATGTTCACCTACTGTCAGGTGTCATATTGTTTAGACCTGGTTTAGTCCTGGTTTAGTCCTGGTTTTACCTGGTTTACCTGGTTTATCCTGGTTTCCTGGTTTAGTGGTTTAGTCCTGGTTTTAGACCTGGTTTAATCCTGGTTTACTGGTTTACCTGGTTTTCCTGGTTTAGTCCTGGTTTAGTCCTGGTCCTGGTTTAGTCCTGGTTTTAGACCTGGTTTAGACCTGGTTTAATCCTGGTTTAGTTTCTGGTTTAGTCCTGGTTTAGTCCTGGTTTTAGACCTGGTTTAAATCCTGGTTTAGTTCTGGTTTATTCCTGGTTTAGTCTTGGTTTAGTCCTGGTTTAGACCTGGTTTACTCCTGGTTTAGTCCTGGTTTAGACCTGGTTTAGACCTGGTTTTAGACCTGGTTTAATCCTAGTTCAGTCCTGGTTTAGTCCTGGTTTAGCCCAAAATGTGTAAACAGGAACATACCGTTGTGTAATCCATTTATTTCAACAAAGTAACAGTATTATCACAATCACCACTCAATGAAACAGTAACTGTAACTGAATACAGTTACTCATAAATTGTACTCTGATTACGTAACTGTGGTACATGTAATCTGTTACTCCCCAACACTGAACGTTACACACAAACAGTGAGACCGTCCCAGTGAGCCTGAACACACTCACAAACACACACACAACACATTACATATTACACATACACATTAGAGGTACCGTATGTTTTGGACTATAAGGTGCACTTAATTATGTTAATATGTCACGTTAACATATTAAACGCCTTTTCAGCCTCTTGTTCTTTATTCTATTGTTACTATTCTACTACTATTCTACTATAAGTTGTCTTTCAAGATAAAATGTCGGTTCCTGGTCCCTGATTGTATAAAATAAATTTCCCCCCAAAAAGTGCGACTTATATATGTGTGACAAAGTGGACCTTTGTCTTATTTTAAATTCACCTTAATTTATGTTTAAACATTTTGATTTTGGAAAGACACCTTTTGCTTTGCTTTACCTGGAATCGTTACTCACCTGGGGGAGGTACTTCCTGCTGGGCGGAGTATAAAAGGCAAGCAGGTGTCATTAATTAGGGAGAGACTTCTGTGCAGGTGTTTGGTGGTTTTGCTTTCAGTTACTTATTTTATGTCTATTTGTATTTTTGTTGGTGAACCCCAGAAGTCTGTTTTTAAAATAAATTTTATTTGCATAAAGACACTTTTTTTGTGTCATCTGCCTCCTACTTTGACCACTTTGGCCAGCTTCCCCACAATGTTTTTTTCTCCTTCATTGCACATTTTTTGACTGGTGTGACTTATAGTCTGAAAAATACGGTAATAGACAAACCTCCCACGTGTACTTTTCTGACCCCCAAATAACGCAACCAACTCTGGACCCCCCCAACTGCTAAATTAAAACATCGCACTGGAAAAAAAAACAAATATCTAGGTAAGTTAAAATGACTTAAATTAAGAACATTTGACTTTATTTGAGTCGATTCAACTTGACAAATAAAATGATCTACCAATGGAATAAGTGTGTTTTACTTAATTCAAGCAACATTCAATTTTGTTTCTTATTTTAAATGCAAAAAATTGTTGGTTTTTCATATTTTAAATGCAAAAAGTTGTTGGTTTTTCATATTTTGAGTGCAAAAAAATGTTTTTCTTATTTTAAGTGTAGCAAGATGTTTCATTTTCATATTTTAAGTGCAAAAAGTCTTGTTGCACTGGTGGATAATAGATAATAGATTTATTTGTCAAGTGAAATTTACTCAAAACTTTCTTAATTCACGTCATCTTAACTTAGATTTAGTTTTCTGCAGTGCGATGGTTACAATTTCAAGTGTTAAAACGGTACAAATCTGAATAGTTTATTGTCTTATTGTGGGTTTGTGAGAGTTTACAAGAACAAGTCAGAGGCATGAGTAACAGTTCTGACTAGAATATTCCACATTCCTGTTTTTGGGCACGGACCAGAGCCGACATTTGCTGTGAGGCAGTTCCCGGTTCGGCATGTTCCATTTTTTTTTTTTTCTCCATTTGAAACATGTTCCGGATAATCTTAATCTGAGCTTTCATCTGAGCGTCTGAAAGAGAAGAGCTCAAAGACTCACCACATATAGAACTGTAATCCTGCTTTTCTTCTCACGCTCTACGAAACATCTATAAGAAACAGCTCTGACACGCTTATGTGACAGATAATACTCCCTACAACTGTGCAACTCAGCCTTATGTAACGGATAATACTCCCTACAACTGTACAACTCACCCTTATGTAACGGATAATACTCCCTACAACTGTGCAACTCACCCTTATGTAACGGATAATACTCCCTACAACTGTGCAACTCACCCTTATGTAACGGATAATACTCCCTACAACTGTGCAACTCACCCTTATGTAACGGATAATACTCCCTACAACTGTGCAACTCAGCCTTATGTAACGGATAATACTCCCTACAACTGTGCAACTCACCCTTATGTAACGGATAATACTCCCTACAACTGTGCAACTCACCCTTATGTAACAGATAATACTCCCTACAACTGCACAACTCGCCCTTATGTAACAGATAATACTCCCTACAACTCATGCATATGCAACGGATAATACTCCCTACAACTGTGCAACTCATGCATATCTAACGGATAATACTCCCTACAACTGTGCAACTCAGCCTTATGTAACGGATAATACTCCCTACAACTGTGCAACTCAGCCTTATGTAATGGATAATACTCCCTACAACTGTGCAACTCAGCCTTATGTAACGGATAATACTCCCTACAACTGTGCAACTCAGCCTTATGTAACGGATAATACTCCCTACAACTGTGCAACTCAGCCTTATGTAACAGATAATACTCCCTACAACTGTGCAACTCAGCCTTATGTAACAGATAATACTCCCTACAACTGTGCAACTCAGCCTTATGTAACCGATAATACTCCCTACAACTCATCCTTATGTAACGGATAATACTCCCTACAACTGTGCAACTCACCCTTATGTAACGGATAATACTCCTTACAACTCACACTTATGTAACAGATAATACTCCCTACAACTTTGCAACAACTCACCTTTACATAACAGATAATACTCCCTACAACTGCACAACTCGCCCTTATGTAACAGATAATACTCCCTACAACTCAGCCTTATGTAACGGATAATACTCCTTACAACTCACCCTTATGTAACAGATAATACTCCCTACAACTGCACAACTCGCCCTTATGTAACAAATAATACTCCCTACAACTCATCCTTATGTAACGGATAATACTCCCTACAACTGTGCAACTCATGCATATGTAAGAGATAATACTCCCTACAACTGTGCAACTCAGCCTTATGTAAGGGATAATACTCCTTACAACTGCACAACTCTGTACAATTGTACAACAACTCACCCTTATGTAACAGATAATACTCCCTACAGCTGTATAAAACTCACATTTACATAACAGATAATACTCCTTACAACTGTACAACAATTCGCCCTTGTGTATCAGATAATACTCCCTACAACTGTACAACTCACCATTATGTAAAAGATAATACTCCCTACAACTCACACTTATGTAACAGATAATACTCCCTACAACTGCACAACTCACTTGTATGTAACACATAATACTCCCTACAACTGCAGAACAACTCACCCTTATGTGCCAGATAATACTCCCTACAAATGCTCTTCACACTAGAACAATCGTTTCAGTCGAGCTACGTCAAGGATAAAACACTGTTCATCCACATTCTGTTATCTCTCTCTTTTTCTCTTCTCTTTTCTGTCCGTTTCTCTTCCTCCCTCTCTTTCTTTCTTTTTTCTACTCAGTTTATTTCTTTCTCTCTTCTTTCCTCTCCTTTTCTTCTTCTTCTTCTCCCTCACACTCCCTTTCTCCATCTGTTTCTCTCCCCCTCTCTCCTTTCCTTTCCTCCTTTTTCTCTCTCTGTCCCCTATCTCCCCCGTTCCTCTTCTCTCACCCTCTCTTTTTCTCTTTTCTGTCTGTTTCTCTTTCTCCCTCTGTCTCTTCCTTTCTTTTTTTACTCACTTTTTTCTCTCTCTCCTTCCCTCCTCTTCTTTTTCCTCCACTCACACTCCCATCCTCTTTCCGTTTCTCTCGCCTCTCCTTCTCGTTCACCCTTTCTTTTCTCTGTCTCTCCTCTTTTCTTTCTGTCCTTCCCCCTCTCTTTCTTTCTCTTTTTTCTCCTCACGTTCTTTCTCTCTCTCTCTCCTTCTCTCTCGTTCAGCACAAAGAGGATTATGTTTTGATTTCAGAATAATGTCTTGATTTTCTGGGTTTGACTTGTTCAGATGTATTTTTAGAGCGCTCAATCCAGCTTCTCTTTTGTTTTTATCCTGTTATAAATAAAATAAAAGTACGAACAAAACAAAAAAATGCAAGTTCGAGTTCTGCTTTTTTTTGTGTGTGTGTTTGGATTTTACCTAATATCAGTCACATCAGTTTCTCTAACGTGAAATGTGAGCTTCAGTCTGGTCAGAGTTCAGCAGAAATGAATCTAGAAAATGTTTCATCTAAAAACTGAAATTCTTCAAAGTTCAAGTCTAGAAATATCTTAAGAAAACTGAAATCTGAACTGATAAACTGATACAAGAGTCAGAAGCGTCTCTTGTTTGAAGACGTCTGCACTTTTTTACATTGGGTCCGACTTTTTTTGTACAAACTCCCTAAGGGCCCAGTCTCACGTTAAATGTATTACTGTATTTTTCGGAGTATAAGTCGCACCAGCCAAAAAATGCATAATGACGAAGAAAAAAACATATAAGTTGCACTGGAATATAAGTCGCACTTTTTGGGGGAAATCATTTTTATAAAATCAGAGACCAGGAACCGACATTTCCTGTTGAAAATCAAGTTCTAGTAAAAACAATAGAACAGAGAACAACAGACTGTTAACGTCACATATGAACAGTTCTTCAGATAAACTATAACATAAACAAAAGAACAAGTTTAACAAACTCTCCATCTCACTCCAAATCACTAAATCCATTCAATTCTTCATCCTCGGTGTCACTCGACCTCTGGAGGTAAACAGAGCGCCGCTTCCTCTTCTGTGTCGCTGTCGTCAGACTCAGCATCAGTTCCAGTTAGAATTATTCCGGCCTTTCTGAATCCCCGTTCACACTAGTTCGTATTCGAGTTGTTTTCGTTGTGGGTGCAGTGTTCGTCCACTCTAATCCAACTGAAAACAGCTCCAGAGACCTGGTGCCGTCAGCTTCTATGAATTCATCTGATCCAGCACTGTGTGGACGCCTGAAAACGCTGATATACTGATGTAGGTCTGTGCGCAGCGAAGTAATTCACCGCCAAAACGCTAAGAGGCTAGAATATATGTCCATTCATATAAACGTGTGTCTGTGTGTACGACCTGCAGATGTATAATCTCTGAAAAGTTTAACATGAACCATCTCCAACATGAACAGACTCACCATCAGCAGAACACCCCTCTGTCACAGAAAGAACACTCATATTCCACTGAGTCGTGTCCTTTAGTCTGACAGAAGCTGAACCGCATCAGCGACACAATAGCGAACTGTTTTTTGGGTGATTCGTTTATGCAAATTAGACATGTGGTTTTAAGTTTTGTTTCTGTAAAACGTAAACAAATGTGCTCAAAGCTGTGTGGATAAGGAAGGATTGTGGGCACAGAAAACGACGTGTGTGGCCGCAGATTAGTTTCAGTGTAAACGGGGTCTGAATCCCGACAGGATGGTTTCGGTGTCACTGAAGTCCAGGCTTTGTCCATCCATCCAGTGACTTCAGGAAAGTTTCATGGTGCATCCTCCCGGTGTCACAAGTTTCTCGCTCGCTCCAAACTTTCTTTCTGCTGCTCGATTATTGTTTTCAGCTGAAGATTTCACGACTTGCAGCTTGTAATCTGCAAAATCTGATTTTCTTATTGGGGGCATTTGTGTTCAGTCTCAGTCTTCTTTATAAGTTTGTTTGAATTGGTAACAGAAGTAATTGTGCGATCGACTGACATGATACAGACAGGACAGGGGCTCTTTCTGCAGGAGACATGCGCAGTAGAGCCAAGTGACAGTGGTACAGGAGGAACAGGAGCAGCAGATACTCACACACAAGACTAGAACCTCTCGCCGCTTCAGTGTGAACATTTTAATATATAAGTCGCACCGGAGTATAAGTCGCAGGAAACACCCAAACCATGAAAAAAAGTGCGCCTTATAGTCCAAATAATACGGTATATTCTTCTGATTTTATGGCCCTGCTCGCGGTCTTACTTTAGTCCCTGGCCTAAGGTTAAGACTCACTTGTCTAAACTACAAGGTGAGCAGGTTATTATCTGATTATTCTAGTTGTTAGTCCTGATTTTGACTCTAAACACAGTGTTGGTGAAGTGGGCGTGGCCGTACCTCTTTGATCAGGGCCATGAAGCGGTTTCCGAACCTCCAGGGCTTGTGGCGGTTGCACTGGAGCGAGCTGACGGTGATCTGAGGAGACTGCTGCACCGCCACGGCCACCACGTGCACCGCGTCGTACATCAGCGCCGCGTCCGTCTGGGAAAACAGAGGGGAAACGAGAGGCAAACGTTAGACTGAAAAAAAAAAAAAAAAAAAAAGCACAACAGAAACGGAAAGGAAGCATGAAATCTTCCTCTGCTCGTCTCCAGATGTGCGGATAGATTTACAACATTCTGCTCCCAGGAATCGGAGGTTTCTAGTCTTAAAGGAAAAGCTTCTTATTTATGTTAAGTGAATTACGGCTGAAAACCCCTTTGTGTCACTGTTCCGTGTGGCAGCTGCCGAATGTTTTGCCCGATGCGCTAAATATGTACACCCATATTGTAATCTCATTCTCATAAATTATAAATACTGATGGTTTCTTTCATCTGGGCCTCATATTATTAAACTTCTTTCTCGTAACTATTCATCTGGCTTTTAACACAGTTTGAGGGTTGACTTTTTTTACCTGTATTTGTATTGTATTATATTTTAACTGTATTTGTCACTGTTTGTTATCTGTTGGTGTGCAGCACTTCGGTCGACTGTTTTGTTTTTAAAGTGCTCTAGAAATAAAGTTGAGTTGAGTTGAGTTGGTTTTGGAGTCAATTCTTATCAACCACATTCTCCCGATACCAGAGGGTCAATTACAAAGTAGAAAATAACACGACGGAGGCAGTGAAGTGTACTTAACCAAGACTAAAATCATCCCAAACCACGACACTACCCAGAGGAAGCACTGCTCACAATGAAAATGCCTGTTTTTCATTGTATTTTTATGCAATAAATAGACCTGCAATGAAGTAAAAGCTACTGTATGTTTAGAGAAAAAACATATTTGTTTACATGAGAGCTTTAATTCCAAATAAAAATGATTTAATTATGAATAAAAATGAACTCTGCTTTTAAAAGACCATGTAAACACTTAATTCCAAAGTAAGTGTGTGGTTTGGATCATGTTTGTGTCCGCGATGTAACGACAAACCGAGTCCTGGCAGTCTGCTACCACGGACTCACCTGAGGTACCCCATATGGAAAAAAACTGGAAAAAAAATATAAGAATTTACCAGTGTCTTTGTAGTAAATCTTTATATAAGGTTTATATGTGTCATTTTTCTCATACAACTATATTATGAAAACTAGTAAAGATAAAGTGAACATTTTGCATGACATTTACAGGTAATGTGCATAATAAACTACATTTTCTTTGTATGTTCCATGTAATGTTTGTATTCTTTAACTCTTTCCCCCATGAAGACGACATTTGACGACCCCCCTGGACCCTTAATGACGACTTTTGACTCCTCCGCCGTATCACTAAAGACGAGATTTGACGACCTTTAGAAATGGCTCGGTTTTTCACATTTAAACAGAGACTGTGATCGGTGGAGCCACTACAACCCACACTAGACTGACCAATAGGATTCAAGGATATGTTTTCGCCGATTTTTTCCGAAGTTAATCGAAATAGTGACGATGGTAGCTTCCGGAAAAAACACAACACGAAACACGTGCAATGGAAAGATGGCGGCGCTGCGGCACACAGTTTTAGAAATAATGAGGAGCAGACGTGTTTTATGATTAAGTTTAGAGAAAGTGACTTTTATAGATTTCAAAGTGATGATGTTGAAGTTGATTATAAAGTGGAAAACAGCGACAGCGACGGACTTTCGGGGAGAAGGTGAGATGCCGCTGATGCGTCTGTGTGGAGTCCTGCGATGTCCCAACAAACTATCTGAGCTTTATACTCGATTATGAACCAAAATTGCCTTGAAATCTGGATGTTGCTCAGGCGAGTCCTTTAAAATATTTCAGTTTTTTTTCCAAGATGCGATTTATAACAGAATCGCTACAGAAAAAACGCTTATGCGGAGCTCTGCACACGAGAAAATAGCCAAGATGACAAATACTGGACACACACTGACGGGGAAGAGTTTTATTATTATATTATTATATTATAATAAGCTAAATGAGTTGAATAAGCTAAATGGAAAAAAATGAATTAGGTGCACACAGGTGAACAACAGGTAAAAACAGGTGTACACTTGGCTATACTGTATCTGGTGATATGAAATCTGTTTAAATACTTTGACAAAGTATATTTTTTTATTTGTTTATGAATATAGTACTCAGAACATGTATATATCAAATGCTGAATGTAGTTTTTTGTTTTCGAGCTTGCACCTGACCAGGTAAACTCTCATTTTCAGTGAGCTGTTATACACCTATAAATGAGTTGAATCACATTTAAACATCCATAAATGAAGAGTTCAGAGTCTAAGGTTTCCAGAGATACAAATATGTCTGTGTTACAATTAAGTTCATGAGTGTAAAAATCATTTATAATCACTCGTGGAAGTCTGTTTTCTTTTATGCAGTTGTGCTCTATGGGTGTAGCCCTAGTAACACATGTATGGGTTGTTCCAGGGGGGAAAGAGTTAATTATATGTCGCAGAAAAAACGGTCAGAGTCTGAAAAGAGATTTGAACCCAGATTTACCATGTGGAATCCAGTAACTCACCAACTGAGCGAACTAATGCTAATGCTAATGCTGATTCAAGCATGAACAATAGCAGATATGGAGGACAATTACAAGTACCTTGGTATTTGTAACTGATATGACGTCTTGTCAGTTGAGGCATGTGAAAAAAACATAAGTGTATAGCTGCTCTTTGGAATATTACAAGTCAATATAGACAAACACACACACAAACACACACTGTGATAATTTTCTTTCTCACTCACAGCAATCAAGTTTAAGGAAACAATCATCATTTCACTTGTTTTTCTATGAAATAAATGACCTTTGTCCAACACTTGTATGTGGGATTAGTGTCATATTCAGGCCTTGCAGGTTACAAAGTTTTATGTTTCACGCTGCACATATTTACCAAAGATCTTGTAAGTGTGTTCACTGTCATATACAAATCTTTTAGGATTCATATGAAACATGTTAAAATGGTGTATGATTTGTCTATATCTTTTCCATATGGGACTGCAGCTAGCGCAGACCCCTCACATTCTCGTCTCTCGGGTCAAGTGCATTTGGTCCCACGCAGGTGAATGTTTTGCGGATTATGGAATACGTTTATTGTCATATAAATGTTTCTGATGTTAAGGCTGATATGATACGTGTGTCTGCTCCACTGTCACAGCCCTGAGCTGTCAGTGAATGTGCGCAGAGTCCAGCAGTGAGAATGTGAATAAATCGACATCGCAGCATTAGGACACAGACAGAGTAAGAAACAGACTTTAGGACATCGCTGTAATCGGCCTCATGTGAATGTGCAGATCCAGATCAAACCAAACTATAGAGCAGAGCTGAGCCGCTAGAGGGAGCGGGCGAGGGGCTGTGCTCTGCTGCGGGAGGGCATCAGGACGACTCCCGCACACCACACGAACATGTTATGAATGTTGAGCATTTATCATCCGCAGTGAGCTTTCAAAATGTGACCCGTGCCTCACTGTTTTGCATCGGCTTCAGGGCTCCAGTCTAAACGACAGAGTGAGCAGCTTTGACACAGAGTAAGGCCTCTCGGAGACTGGAAATTTGTTTTGGATTTTGGGCCATGTTCATTTGTTCTGGTTAATTTTTCACTGGCTCTAATTGTACTTCAAATTCTGATCACTGGACAAATAAAGTTATGTAAAAAGACCAAACTAATATTTCAAATAGAAACTGAAACTGTTAAAGAGGTAATTATTCTTTGTCTTCCAAATACAACAGTTAAGGCCGCAACACACTATAGGAGAATTTGCCCGATTTTGGCTGCGATTTGACACATGAATGTGAAGCATTTATCATCCTAATATATTTCCAAATAAAAGAAACCTTGAGCATGTTACATGTTGTTTTTCAGTGGACTCGCTTTCTATTTAGTTTTACGATTCTGGCAATTCACTAAACGCGCCACACCACACCCTCAGTCTGCTCCACCTGATGTTCAGGCCTCTTGTTTAGAACTCCACACCCCACACTTGCGCTAAGTGCTACGACTGGGGACAAGATCAGGCCCTGTGTGTTTTTGGAAAGAATTCATAAAACATATACGCAACTTCTTATCTCATTTGACCCTTTCTTATAAAGATGTGCTGTTTGGTTTTTGCAGAGTACATCATACAAAAAGTAAATATTATATAATTCATCTGTTAATCACGTGACCTATCAGTTGGTTTCATGGGGGGGGGGGGTTATCTGATAATGTTTCAACCAAAGCTGAGACCGAACCTACGTCCTTGTGTAAACCTCGATTCAGAATTATTATTTCCATGTAAACTCGAAGGAGAATATTTTCATTCAGAACTATTTAAAGTGCCCGTCTCATGCAAAATCAACTTTTCAGAGCTTTCTACCTTCTAAGAGAGATGTGTGGGCCTTGTGTATGTCGCCGAAATGGTTTTTAGATTGATTCTGTGTTTGTTTGTTGTTGTTTTTTTAACAATTTGCAGTGTATTTCTGCCACCTCCCACGTGACAACGAACTAAAGTCTGCTACAACAATGACATGGCAGCTACACCTATGACATGTGTGACGTAGCAGAAAGCACTTTGCAATGCCCCACTCCACCGCCTCCACCCCGACTCCACCCTACATCAACTGACAATTCCCACATGAACACCAAAACAAAAGTGACAGCATAAGCTCATTGTTCTACTCTGCAGTGAACACGATATAATAAGTTTATTTACTAGTGTTTATTCATTCTTTACCAATCAGTAATGTTCAGTTGATGTGGACGCGGTGCTTGAGCTTCGTGCTCCTCAAAGTCGTCGTCTGATTCCGGGTCCAACACATGTGGCTGAACGCGCTGTATCTCCATGATGAATAAAAGTTTATTCCTGCCGCTATCAGGGTGCACATCTGTCTCCCCCTCCCTCCCTGAGATGGCGGAGGAAGGGCGGCTCACTCAGAGTCTACGTCACGTTTGGAGGGCGGAGCCTGTGTTTTCTCAGGACGGGCGGGGGGAGGAGCAATAGTCAGTCTTTCATAGTTCCTAGTCTGTGACTGTCTCGAAGAAATCAGTAAAATTTCATAACTATTGTGTAATGGATGTTCC